TTTAGTCACTGCTTGGCATGCATTGACTGTTTAATGAATGTTAACTACTGTCATCGTCTTATTCTTTTTAATGGCTGCCTAGTTTTCCGTGGTATACGTGCACCAGAGCAGTGTTGCATCAGAGCCCATCATCTTAACCACTCTACCTTATTGCCCTTACCTGCTAGCCAATTATTGGCCACTTTGTAGCTGTGTAATCTTGGGAAAGCTAGTTTAACCTCTTTCTGCCTGTTTTCTCTCCTGCAAAGTAGGGATATTAAGGTACCACCTCGTAAGATTGTCATGAGGATTAAATGACATAATACATGTAAAGAGCTTAGAACAGTGCTTGGTGCATAGTAAGTGTTCAGTAAATGTTAGCTATTATTATTTTATTATGTACCAGATTTTTTTGTTTGTTTGGTTTGATTTTTTTTTTTTTTTCTTTGAGACAGGGTCTCACTCTAGCCCAGGCTAGAGGGCGGTGGTGTCATATAGTTCACTGCAACCTCAAACTCCTGAGCTTAAGCCATCCTTCTGCCTCAGCCTCCCGTGTAGCTGGGACCACAGGCGCATCCCACCACACCTGGCTAAATTTTGTATTTTTTGTAGAGATGGGAGTTGCTCAGGTTGGTCTGGAATTCCTGGGTTCAAGTGGTCCTCCCACCTCAGCCTCCCAAAGTGCTAGGATTACAGGTGTGAGCCACCACACCAGGACTATGTACCAGATTTATGTAATTCTGCTGATGGACACTTGGGTGACAGTCATAGGTGCTAGAGATACATTGGTTTCTTCAGTTTACATTTTAATGGAGTGGACAATAAACATATAAACAAGTAGCATAATTCCAGATAAAAGAGGATGTAGATTAGGTGGCCATTGTGGACTTCTCTAAGGAGGTGACGATCGAGCTCAGACCTAATGAATGAGTCATTTGAAAAGCTGGGGAAAGAAGCAACAGGAACCCCTAATGCCAAGGTCCTAAGGTAGGAGCAAGCGTGATATTTTCTAAGAGCAAGGAAG